CCTTGAACTGCATGTTTGAGTAAACTTCTTCTGTTTCCTATCTGAAATCCTACCAACGACAGTAATCCAGTCATCCTACCACTTGCTACACATATAATTATCAGCTACAAATCTAGATCAAATATAGCGATTAATTTCTTGCAGAAAACCGCAACAAAGAAAAAACCAGCATTGTTTGTTGCACGAGATTATTCGAATTATTCGAATAGTCGAATATTCGGTTAGGTATGATTATTCGATTATTCGAATAGTCGAATATTCGACCACATGTAATTATTCGATTATTCGAATAGTCGAATGTTCGACCAACCCCATTTATTCGAATATTTGTTCATTCAAATTTTAAATGTAGCATTATTCGAATATTCAAATTCGAATAATCTGAAAATCACATATCGAATAATATTCGTTCGTTCGAATGTTTTTCAAAAGCCGATTATTCGAAATTCATTCGTTCGACGAGATTTTTCGGTCGTTTCAACTATAGTAGCAATGTAACAATCATCGATGTACCGACAGTACATCAGGGGACATCGCGATAATACCGGCTCCTCTATTTTGCTCATGAAGCAAATAGCGAGCGCGGGCGCTAGTCTTTGTCCCATCGCTAGTCCTCTTAGCTGTGCATAGTATTGTCCCGAAGACGTTGCATGCCAGGCATTCCTTGACCAAGGAGATGATGCGCGCTTTACTGAGCCCGTATGTTTCCATATTGACAATATGGGAATCGAGAAGCCCAGAGAGCGCTTGTAATGCGTCATTATTGGACACATTAGTGTATAATGACACAACATCAAATGACTCCATTACGCAATTCTGGTCAAAATGCGTTTTGCGTAGTTGTTCACGGAAGCGGCTTGTGTTCGGCAAATGGGCAGGGATCTTACATAAGAGTTGACTAACGATCTTGCTAAGGAACCACGAGATTCTGTCGGTTGGCCCACCTATACAGCTGATTATTGGCCGAATTTTGCAAGACGCAGCAGTTACATCTCGTGGATCAGTTAAGGCGAGTTTATGTGTTTTTACGAGGCCATAAAAGACAGGACAAGTCGGATTTTCAATTTTAAGCCTACTAAGAAACTTTTCATCTAGTCCCGCTTGCTTTCCGACCATCATCCAGATGTGGTTGAGTCGCTTGCTTTGAGAAAGGAATTCTTTTTCGGTCGCGCGACGATAAACTGTAGCATCGGATAGATGAAGTTCGGTTATGTTGCGATCGAGCGTTTGCGGCATAATAACAAATTCGCCTCCTTTGTCACTAACAGTGAGACGAATATTGCCGTTGGAGGTCAATTCGCGCAGCTCTTTGAAACCCTGTCTTTGCGTATATGTTAAATTAGATTGTTTCATACCGCGATATTTGTTGAGAACATTCAAAATTCCTGCCGACAGTATGCAAAATTTAACATCCGCTTCATGACAAGAATCAGTCTCTTTGTAAAAGGATGATGGGAAAGGAATAGGAGGGAGTACCCTTTTACATAAGACAGAGGGCAACTGTAAACTGTTATCGTGCCTGATTTTTGCGCGCAACTGATCTCTAAAGCGCTGCAAGGATCCTAGAACTTTGCGGTATACCATTGAGTTGACCGTTTGTGTAGGCGCGAAGGATGGTCCTAAGCTGAGTAGGTCTAGTGCGTTGGCAGATACATGAACATTGCCTATGATAGTGACCCTGGCCGTTTCATTAGTCGTAAGTGGAGCTGAATGAGTAAAAGACCGTTGGTTCACTGGGCGGCGTTCGTTCGTTTTGCGAGCTGTGAGTAGCCTACACTATATAAGGTGTCGTACTTTATCGGACCGCTCATTTTGTCATCATTTGCTGTGGGCGACCGTGAGAGAGAGCTGACATCCTTACGCTCCTCACCAGGAACACTTGGTAAGCTGTTCAACTTGAGAACTTATCTGCGTCACAATGGATGAGTCAAGTATACGGTTTGGAGGAAGTGTCTGGTGGTCTAGATCGTTTGATTTATGAGTGATTGACTCGCTTTCAGACCCCTGAAGACGGCATTCAGCCGAAACGTCGGGCAGTAAATAAAGTGTTACTTTAAAAACCTGTTACGGCTTAAAGAAACCTGAACAGTATCCAATCAATTGAGGCTTCCCTTTCCCACGCTTGCGGTGGGAGAGTGATTAGAGGGCATCTTCGCGAAAGAGGTGCAGAATCCATGCAAAGCGGCGAGCGGGAGCGGAGGTGCTGGTACCTCTGACACTGCAGTTGATAAGCCCTGTACGTGAAGCTGTTTCTTCGCGTTAAGCAGAGTATCCATCGTATCATTCGCGTCTCTGTCGCGCTCGGGATCTGCTCGTTTTTCGTAGTTGCTGGCCAAAGTTCTGCTCCCGGTATACTTTTAACTTAGTAATATCAAAATTCGGCGGTCGCAGAGTACTCCTGTAACTTGCCGCCAATTCAGCCACTCCGCTTTCGTCATAGCATGAGCATTAGTGATCGCTTTGCAATCCGACGTGGTCACTCGGGAGCCTATGCATTTGAATGTGGAGACCTTTTCCAATGGCTGCCCATCGATACTGATTTTACCGTTGGTTTGCGATCTGCGTTCCAGGTTGCTCGGTCTTTCTAAGTTCAGTCGCGCCATATGGGCTAATCGCGTTCTCCATTTTACGGTTGCCTTTTCAAACTCCTGCTTCGATCTACTGCTCGACGTCATCCGCACACAGGAGCGTCCACGAGTGCGCTGAATGTTCATAGTCACTGTATCCATGGACGGTAGAAAGAGAAGTGGTGACAGACTCGATCCTTGGTGTACTCCAAATTGGATTAGGAATTATCGACGTTCTCACTACATAGCATACGGCGCCTCGCGTTCGCATAAAGAAGTTCGATCTAGCGGACGGACTCTTCTGGAAGTCGCGTTGTCTCACTGCAAACCAGATCAGCTTGTATGGTATCCGATCAAATCCTTTTTGAATTAAGGAGTGCAAAATGGATCGTGTTAGTAATCGTACGGCATGGATGGCGTTGAGGATACCAGATCTTCTACAAAACCGCATTGGTTTGGGATGACCTCCACGATATTCGGAAGCGTGTATTAATGACTCGTTATGGTAATGACTCGCTCGAGGATCTCCATCGTGTGACGCAGAAGCGTATCGGTCGATATAGCTCGCTGACTTCGTCCTTGTTCCTCCAGATGATTCTTTCAGAGAGTGTGACACTCATAGGACAGGTTCGCGGCACTTGCCTCTCGATGTTGATCTGCTTGACAAGTGATGTAAGGTATGCCACTGTTGTATCACCATCCATACTTCGGCAGGTATGTCGTCAGACCCCGGTGAATTACCGCTAAACGTCTTGTTCAGTGGCTGCACAACTTCTGTCTTTTCGATCCAAGGTACTGGTCCGAATATGGGCGTTCCTTGGCGGGTGCGGAAACTCTTCATTAAATAGACTCTCCTAGTATTCGCTCCACCACTTGAGTATCGCCCTCGGCTTCGTCATGAGATTACCCGCTGCGTTTTTGATGCGCTGACATGGTTGAATGACTTGCTTCGCTCTATGTCCGGCAGCGGCCAGTTAGTAAACCTTGTTAGCTCCAGCAGGTCCTTCCAGCTCGTCGTAGAGTCTCTTGGGCTGCACGACAGGAGGCACGCCAAAAATAGGGGGGGGGGGGGGTGGTAGGCCCGAATCTTTTGTAGTGTGCCTCTTTGGCTCAGCTACCGCTCTCGAGTTCAGTTCCTGATATCGACGGAAGCTCTCGTCTGTATGAGAGCGCTGCCTGGTTTTGGAGGCTTATTTCATCTCCTTAATTACTTGCTGGGCTGACCCAGACCGTCACTAGATCTGCTTCAACAGACCGGCGTCCTGGCAGAATGGTCTGCACTCGAAATCAGATCGATGACGTTTTTTACATTATAAGCAGAGCAGGGCTGTTTGAATAACGGAAAAACCACGGAAGAACAGACTGTAGCCAAAGATAGGAATTCCAAAAAAAAGGACGGTTTTGCCAATTTTCTCGCTTAATTAGAATTCAAGTCGGCGAGTTGTCAGGATATGTGCTTCAAAAGTTCTAGAATGGTAGACTGTTGTGAAAATGGATTCAAAACAACGGAGAGTCTTGAGCATTGCTTTGTGGAAGGCCTGGGATAGCGTGGCAGCCGCTGCCACATGTAAGTGGAGACGCAAGCGTGCATAGAGAGTAGAGACTGCATTTGGCCGTAGTCGGGAAACTCCGCGTGTTTGAAGCAAAGCCTCGCATAGTTATACATCATCATGTTCCTCAAGAGGGAACTAGAAGCACAAAACGTCGCCGAGGTGAAACCACTCTACGACCCTATAAATGTGTATTTTCATGTGTGGGTTGTTCTTTAAAGTTTCAAGCGCAGTTTTGTTTTCACACTAATCCATATATCGTTTTGGATTTATAAAACACTTGCTTAATCCAAGAGTCGATTGCGTGAGAAACCTGTTTCTGAAAAAAATCCGTAGTCAAATCTACTTTTGACACGATAAGCTGAGAAACGCACTATTCTGGTGCTGGTGCAGTCAAACGGGTTATGACACACTCTATGCACTTCGTTCGGTATTTCCAAAGTGCTTATATTCTTTCGGCTTCGCCCTGGTTGTTTTCAGTTTTATCCGGATGAGGGTCGTGCCTTACTTCATTGCTCATAGTGGAAATCAGAATACGGCTTTATGTTATGAAAAAAATTGCGTTATGAAAAAAAAATGCGTCGGCGAGCTAAGTTCTCAGTGTTCACGCGCCAGGCGCTGAAGCTAGGACTTGTTGTGCCAAAAACTTGTAGTCAATTCGAGTAGGAGTTTTACTGCATCCCAATATTGACTACAATCAACATTGGGATGCAGTAAAACTCCTACTCGAATTGACTACAAGTTTTTGGCACAACAAGTCCTAGCTTCAGCGCCTGGCGCGTGAACACTGAGAACTTAGCTCGCCGACGCATTTTTTTTCATAACGCAATTTTTTTCATGATTGTTGATTGTTCGGAGCGTACGTCCCCACATTTTATTACAGGTCCCTTTAAAAAGTCGACAGTGATATTTGTGGAACGAAAGATCACGTCGAATTATCTGGCTCTGTTCTTTCAGCTCAATGGGTATCGTATGGAACCGCTGAACTCGTGCGTACTTTTATTATGCGTATTTTTTCTTCTCCAGCAATCAATTTTTCAAGGGACTTCACTCCAAAGCAGAATCGAGAAGTACTGAGAAGCATGGAACAGAATGAGATCCAGGGAGTAGTAGCCACCAACAAGCTGTCCCGAGGGCAGGACATCCCAGAAGTTGACCATGTAATGTGATGGTATTGTTTGTATCGACATCATCATCTCGCAACACTAGATTAGCTGTGATCAAGTCACCGTACAATACCGTTCGTAGTTTGTGAAAAAAATGGCGGTGGCCGCTTCAGGCGGTGGCCACCGAAGTTAGGCGGCGGGAGCCTAAGATCGGGCGGCCGCCGCCTAACATTTTTAGAAATCCTCGAAATAGCCTTATCTTGATTCAAAGTTTATGAATTTCATATCTACTCAGGCAATCGCCGGGGGCAGGCGGGCACCGGAAAAATAGATTGCTGATCTCTCGCACCCCGCTCGCGGATTTTTTGGAAAGCAATCAGGACTTTTCGGAAGACCACTTGCTGAGTTCTCGATTTTTCAGAGATTCAGCAATATATCTGCAAAAGATAAGAGCGAAAAAAATTCAACAGGCGGTCTCTCAAAAATCCGCTGACTCAGCAAGCGGTCTTCCGAAAGTCCTGATTGCTTTGCAAAAAATACGCGAGCGGGGTGCGAGAAATCAGCAATCTATTTTTCCGGTGCCCGAATGCCCCCAGCGATTGTCTGAGTAAGAGTACCATTCAACTGAGCTCAGCGAGGTCCATCTTCCAGTATGTGGATGTGTTACAGTCTGCAGGATACGGTAGGTCACGTTAGCTTTCACAAACAGACTTTTGTTTGGATGGATTACCCAGTGGCTGATAATATTTACATTCGTTTGCTGTTGTTGGCACTTTCTCTGGATAGTGTAGGAGCAAGAGTACCATTCAAGCAGTAAAAAGTCACTTCGCACGAATTCGTTTGAAAATTCGCTCAGAGTGGGTCATCGACGCGCAATGATTATGCGCAAGATATTTGCAGCTTATATGTGAGCCCGCACGGACAAGCGACGACACCTTATAAAAACTCGCTAGTACCTTTTCTGATGGAACAATCTGTGAAAGTGTCTACTATTACTGATACAACTAAACCAAAAGAGGGTAGACTGTAGGGAGTAATTTTAAGAAACCAAAAGATTACATCTTACAGCTCGTAACGGAGTGGTAGCAGTATGCAAACTGAGTTACAAGTGAGTCGACGATAATTCATTCGCTGAACATTGTATGGATACAATCGGAATACGATGTAGTATCACACTTGAATATGTCTGCAAGGTTGCTCCCGCGCTTTCAAAGAATAGCAGTTGATTCCTATTATGACGTCATCCTGTAAGAAATCAACTGATTTTGAGGCATAGCACTTACGTGATCTAGCTGTATATAGTGATCACAATTTCTTGTATGGACGTGTTTTTGCGATGATATAGCGCACCGCATATTGTACATAAGGAGCTTTAGTAAGCATTTATCGGTAGAGTGTGCCCAGATACCGTCCTTAACAAAAAATTGACTGTAGCCTCTCTTTGAAAATTGAGATAATGGCCGGTGAATTCTTGAGATTCGCAAGGTCCACGAACAATTTATATGCCACAAATCTGCAGCAACATCTTGGAAAGCTAATTTGGCATCAGTGCTTTGATTTGCATGCTATTTTAAGTGCTTAATTGGAGTTTCGCTTTGATCTTAGGTCTTCGGTTATGTTCTGTGGGTTTTTGTAAGGGCGCAGCTCGAGGCTTCTTATAGATAGAGAATTCTCATAGGCGTCATCCGAAGAGTAACTTTCCGAGTTTTATAGCAACCTTACAGTGCCAGAAAATTCTTTGATATGAAGGCGAGAACGCGGTAGCAAATTTTTGAGAAGTTTACGTTCATCTGAATCCTATCTACCGTTACAGTAAGAAGCTATCTTGCTTGATGAGAACGCGAGTTTATAAGCTCATAACCTGGAGTGCATTACGGAAAGAGGCCTGATTCAAGCATTGCCGGATAGAGGTGCTCACGACTCTAAACTACACATGCACGCAAGCAGGTTCATCAACAGATGGACAAATATGCAGGCGAAGTTGTCACTTTGCCACCTTGTCCGGCATGCTGTTTACGAAAAATCACATTTGATTTGCAAGATAGCTTCTTACTGTAAGATTACGGTAGATAGGATTCAGATGAATGTAAATTTCTTGAAAATCTGCTACCGCGTTCTCGCCTTCCATCAAAGAATTTTCTGGCGCTGTACGGTTGGTATAAAACTCGGAAAGCTGCTCCGCGGATGACGCCTATGAGAATTCTCTATCTATAGGAAGCCTCGAGCTGCGCCCTTACAAAAACCCACAGAACATAACCGAAGACCTAAGATCAAAGCGAAACTCCAATTAAGCACTTAAAATAGCATGCAAATCAAAGCACTGATGCCAAATTAGCTTTCCAAGATGTGGCTGCAGATTTGTGGCATATAAATTGTTCGTGGACCCGCCGGCCATTATCTCAATTTTCGAAGGGAGGCCACAGTTAATTTTTTGTTGAGGACGGTATCTGGGCACACTCTACCGATAAATGCTTACTAAAGCTCCTTATGTACGATATGCGGTGCGTGCCCGGCTCCGCCCGGCCCTGTCAAAACGCTATGTTAAAGAACACCATCCTATTCCTGTACGAACCTTCCCCTGTGCCCACGCCTACATGCCAAATCACTATTCCCGCTGTGTTAGTAGACAGCATGCTCGATTACCCCCCAGGGCCCGGCACGCGTTGGTTTGGAGGTTTTTAGGAAACGAAGTCCCCCATGGCTTTGCGAAAGTCAGTAAGGAAACCCATATTCAACCAAAATAGCAACAAAAAAGCGAACAAAGCGCATTTTGAGGTATGTAATACAACAAAGAAGCAAAAAGAAAACATTTCGAGTCGATTAAAGGCTCTGCCATTTGGTATAGTACCATTTTGATGCTGGGAATGTCGAAAATCTCATCTCCAACCAAATCTGTAGCCTCAACAATCCTGCGATGCATTTTTCGCCACATATTTTAAAGGACACCGCAAGTGATTGGAGCGCGATATCTATCAACGCGTAGAATTATACTACTTTTGACTCAAAAAAAGGGGAGAGGCAACGGTTTGATCCGCTCTCTTCACTATACGAAAGATTTTTGACCGTTCTAATCGTCCAAATCAAAAAGGTCCAAAACTTATGTGAACTCTCCGATATTTATGCTCCGAACCAACCCAGTTGGTTTGGTAGTTGGTCTAGAAACCAACAAATTCGAGAACGGATATTAGGACACATAAGTTTTGCGAACTTTTTACATAACATAGTTTGGAGTAATATTGTATATACATAGCCCAAATTCGGAGCCATGTGATTGTTTGTGCGCTGTAAACAAGCCATTTGTTTGTTTGAGTCTTGCATTTGAAATTCGCGCGCTTGCGAAAGAACACGTTCAACTCGTGAAACCTGACAGGTTTGTCGTGTTTTTTGGCGCTTCCCAGGACCTCATAAAAACGATGTCCCCGTTGCTTCTAACTCCAAAAACGAAGTCCAATTTGACCCCAAACCATCGCTGCCGGGCCCTGTTACCCCCTGTGCAAACTCCCAGCTCCGCAGGTCAAACTTTACAAAAAAATTAATAAAATCGATAAAAGTAATCGATAATCTTGAAAATTTATATTGTATTCGGAATTCCCATGCTCGATTACCCCCCTGTGAACTCCCAGCCCCGTAGGTGAACTCTGCAAAAAAAATCGATAAAAATCGATAAAATCGATATCGATCGATGACGAAGAGTAGCCTACGACACCCACCGGGGCCCGAAGTGCATGTATGCCAAGTTTGGTCCGGATCGGTTCAGAAATGGAATTTTCTATTCGGAACATACGTACAGACAGACAGACAGACAGACAGACAGACATACATACATACATACAAACAGACATTCAGCTTTATATAGAAGGATATGCGGTGCGCTATATTTATCATCGCGAAAACACGTCCACACAAGAAGTTGTGATCACTATATACAGCTAGATCACGTATCGTTCCCCTCCACAGCTCGTGCTGCCCTTGTGGCGTCGCGGACTTGCCACGTGTGACTAACACATTGGCAACGTTGCCAGCAACACGTTGGCAACATGCAGCAACATTTGGCTTGGCCAAAATGTTCTGCCAACATGTTGGGGCATGTTGCAAACATGTTAGCCACAAGTGGCAGGTCTGAGACGCAGACCAAGGGTAGCACGAGCTGTGGAGGGGACGATAAGTGCTATGCCTCAATATCAGTTGTTTTCTTACAGGATGACGTCATAATAGGAATCAACTGCTATTCTTTGAAAGCGCGGGAGCAACCTTGCAGACATATTCAAGTATGATAGTACATCGTTTTCCGACTGTATCCCTACAATATTCAGCGAATGAATGTATCGTCGACTCACTTGTAACTCAGTTTGCATACTGCAACCACTCCGTTACGAGCTGTAAGATGTAATCTTTTGGTTTTTTAAAATTACTCCCTACAGTCTACCCTCTTTTGGTTTAGTTGTATCAGTAATAGTAGACACTTTCACAGATTGTTCCATCAGAAAAGGTACTAGCGAGTTTTTAGTAAGGTGTCGTCGCTTGTCCGTGCGGGCTCACATATACAGCTGCAAATATCTTGCGCATAATCATTGCGCGTCGATGACCCACTCTGAGCGAATTTTCAAACGAATTCGTGCGAAGTGACTTTTTACTGCTCCTACACTATCCACAGAAAGTGCCAACAACAGCAAATGAATGTAAATGTTATCAGTCACTGGGTAATCCATCCAAACAAAAGTCTGTTTGTGAAAACTAACGTGTACCTACCGTATCCTGCAGATTGTAACACATCTATATACTGGAAGATGGGCCTCGCCGAGCTGAGTTGAATGGTACTCTTAGATATGAAATTCATACACTTTGAATCAATAAGGCTATTTCGAGGATTTCTAAAAATGTTAGGCGGCGGCCGCCTGACCTTAGGCTCCCGCCCAAGTTTGCCGCACTTCGGTGTTCGCCGCCTAACTTCGGTAGCCGCCGCCAATTTTTTTCACAAATTACGAGCGGTATTGTGAAAGGCCTGCACGCATTCGGTAACCTCTTCGATATAAAGTAGATTGCGTTTGGCGCATATTCGCGGAGGCATTTGCACGCCGAATGTATCCTTTATTCTTGTTGGCTATGATAATAGTTTTTGCTAGCACAAAATTCGGTACTTTTCCGTTATCCGGACCCATTTTTTCAAAGAAGCATATTGCTTCATTCCTCGTACCATATTTGGTCCCGACTTTACAGGAAGGAGTGTCAACCTTCTGCCACGTGTCAAAAAAATTTGACATGTCTTTTACATGTTTAACAGGTTTAACCAAGAGTTTGAGTTGCCCTACCTAGCGACGTAAGTTCAGTCTTTTTATTAGTCAATAGTGACCCCATTTTCGACTAAACTATCAAAAATGAGCACTGTTATAATAATAACGTCATTCTGTTACTAATTAAACAGATTAGACTTGCCAAGAGTAGAGAAGTGGACTAGGATCCCATCATCTAAATGACAGAATAAGCAATAGCAAGGAACTTTGAGCCATCATTTATAGTCCCGTCTGGCTAAATTCGCAAGACGAAAAGTTTGAAGAAAAAGACAATGCTGAATCGTTGCTGAAAGCGATCAAGATGTTCTGATATAAATTTCAGATTGTTTTGCTCTCAGACAAACCAATTAAACAGCTTTAGGTGATCACAAATGCTTTTTTACCTCACCGGAAGTGATTTCGAAAAAACATGTCAAAATGGACCAAAACGTGTTAATATTTTTCTGACACGTGGCAGAAAGGCAGTCCTCGTGGAATCCATAAAAAATTGTTCTTAGACTGAAGAACGTATTTTATGAGAGCTTTTTGAGAAAATGGGTCCGGATAACGGAAAAGTACCCAAAATTCTATCAAGCAGCGTTTCGCGCTTTTTGCTCTAAGCCGCGCTCCTTTCATCGCCCTTGCCCGGTCAAATCCGCATCTGGCCCGGATGCGGTCCAGTTATGAGAAACTACGGGATTTGATCTTTAAGCCATTCTGTGAATCTGGCCTCAACCTAGAATCACAGTGTCGATCATCGGCGATCATTTTTGTTACAGGCTTACGGTGAAACTTTGCGTGCATGTGAACTGAATTGTGGATTAGCTGCCGTTCGAAGAAAAGTTAAAAAAATCTGAAAAGTAGTGTAGTACGATTTTACGCTCCTCCTCTCACCGATTCTTTACAGTTTCTAATGTTTTTGAATGGCATACCCATTTTTTCAAAGGAAGTGGAGAACTCATCATGTCCTAGGAGCAATCGCAGGCAGCGAGCATGAATGTTTCCTGCTGGTACTTTCCAGGTCGGGCGGGCTACCTTAGGCTCTGGTTCCAATATGGGAGGTCCGTTTAATCGAGTGACCTTTTTACGTAACTCCTATATCACTTTGAAGAGCAATAAAAGATGGTTCCAAATCTGTCTACATTGTCAAACCTTCTGGACGCCTAACTATGAGCGTTTCCGGGATAAAAAAAATTGAATGAGCAACTCGATCAAACAGATGTTCCATTGTTACTTATCACACTTTATCCAATAGGTAGTTTATGTCTAATACTCACACTCGACACTGCTCTACTTGAGCGCTGAAAAGCCCGTAACAGTTAATTTTACCTAGGTTCTGCATCCATTTTTTGCTCCAAAAAACACTCATAACCCGGTATCCAAGAGGGCTTGGGCAAATAATAATAACAGATCTGGAATCAGCGTTCAATGCTCTTCAAAGCGGTATAGGACACTTCGACACTTCTAAAAGACCACTTCGTCCTAGCGGACCTTTCTTGTAAGTTCCGTCTCCCCTGCCTCACAACTGTGCCTCGCAAAATCTTCGCCCTCCCACACAAATCTGTTAAACAAGGACGGAGCACCAGTATTGGGTCTTTTGGCTGCCAAAATTTTTGGTGTTCGGGTTGATTGAATTAAAAAACAGGTACGTCATTTATACACGACTCGTAAAACGCACCGTTCCTTCGTGCTTGGGAGCACGGCTCGGCACAGGTGGCTTGTAAGCCAGCTGGTACGTTTTTTGGGACGAAAAGCAAAGGGGGTTTCTTGTGACCGAAGAGACACGGAAAATTGGCGACGGCGACCTTTTTTTTATAGTCGACGTTTCGTTTTTTGGGGGATTTTGGGGAATTTTTCAGGTTTTTAGAGGAAATTTGGATGAGGGTAGATGAGGGTCAAAGGGAACTTCGTAAAAATTCCCAAAAGTCAAGGGGGACTTCGTTTTTTCCATTTTCATCTAGCCACCTCGTGCCGAGCCCTGCTTGGGAGAGACGGCAGATGGTAAGAAAAACGGAAGAGACTTGATCAGAGAGATGCCGTTACGTCCGCTGTCCTCGTGTTATAAATCGCCTACACTCGTGAAATTAGGGTACTATAATTTGGCAAAAGATATCGGGAAGGACAGATACTATGATCAAACAATGCATACATACAGTCGAGTAGATTTTTTGCTCAATATAGTGTGCTTGCACAGCAGGTGAAATGCGGTAGAATTTGCGAAAATAGCTACCCCTGTGACGCTGCCCAATTGCGCGCGCAAAATACCGGCATTACTGGCGTGGTCATTGTTCACGCACAAATTTTACCGCATTTCACTTGCTGTGCGAGCACACTATATTAAACGGAAAGTCTAGGAAATATGTATTCTGCAGTGCAATCTCAACATTTTGTTCGTCATCTGGTTAGCCCAGCTCCGTTCTGAATATACCAGAAGAGCAGTGGCGTACCGAGGGGGGGGGGGAGAGAAGCGGCCTCCCCTCTCCCCCGAGAAAGGATCGCGAAATTTTTTCAAGCTACTTATACGGTCATAAAATGTGCAGCGGCTTGTCTATACTTGTAAATAATTGTTATATTTCCAAAAAATTCTGAAAATCAAGTTTAACCTTATTTTAAAAGAATTTTTCGGGGAGTGGTTGCTGCCACGCCCCTTTTTTCTGAAATGTTATGGGCCCGCAAAAAATTTTAGGAAACATTTTTTTCGGAGTGCGTGGCTAACGCCATCCACCCTCATTGAGAAATAATGTTTTTCCCCTCCCCCTCCCCCCGAACGGAAATCCTGGGTACGCCACTGCAGAAGGGGGATCAGTATAGGCGGAATAAATCCGAAACTAAATTCTTTTCTGAGGCGTTACTAGATGGTCATTTTGTCCAGATAGAAATCAAGCAGAGTTGTAGTCTATAAGTCAATTTACCCTGACAATCTACGGTGAGTGCTGAACATGAAAGTGCAATGGATCGAATTCAGTTTGATTAGACTGTTTTCAATTTATCAGATTTAATGGCTGTCCATGTTATGTCAGCTACGCTTGAAGATGTTTCTTTTAGGTGATCGTCTACGAAATGTCGCAGAACTTTGATGATTATAAGCACAGGTTAGTTATCATCCAAGAACGACAAACTCTGTCAGTCGCCTATGCAGCGTGCACATCATTTTCATTGAAGTTCCTTCACACAACGCAAAGGCTTTACTTTTTGTGTCCCTACTGCAGGACAGAAATAGATTGTCGTTGTACTTTCAAAGGAGCAGATTATTAAATTTTGTGAAATCTGCAAAAATAAAGTTCCTCGTAACACCCCTTCCCCCTATTCTTTGTTCTGCTAGTAGTTTTAGACACTGCAAAAATTAGCTCATATAGCACTTTAAAGACGGTATCGAAATTTGTTACAACTTTTTTGCCCTTTGACGGGACTATTTTTGACTATCGTCTTTTGTTTTTTAAGAACATATCAAATTCAAGCGTCGACCTCTAGTAAAAGCTGGTAGAAGTTGTTCATTAGCTTGGATCTGTTACCGAGAAATGATAGCATCGATCTGGTTAGTGGCTTTACAACTCACCCGCGCTTGCATAGCTGCCGGGAACTAGTTCTCCCTCACTGTGCTTGATCTAGCAGATTTCCAATATGTCGCAGAGCGTATGAAGAAGCGAAAGGAATGTATGTGAAAGGGGGAGTCCTTGGTAAAATTTGGAACTGCCCACTTTAACAGAGTTCTCTAGATGAACAAAGACCAGGGCCCGGCAGGAGGTGGCATTTCAGAATTTTGAAAACGATATCCCCTTTGAAGCCAAAATTTCTTACGACTTTCCCTTTGACCCTATTTTTGACCCCCGTAAGTCCCTGACAAACAGATGTACACAAATAATAAGATGGGCGGCCTCAGCGCTTATTATAGTAGTACTACCTGGCTTTCCTGGTCCAGCCCGGGTCATCAAGGTTTCAGCTCAATGGGTTCATCCGCAAAGAAATCTATAAAAAAGCATAGGGTCAAGATTTGCACAAACTTTGACGTTTATATATTAAGATACTATTCATTTATTAGTCAGCTGCGAAACTTTACAATTTACAATAACCGATTGCGATTGGAGCGCGCTTTCCGAGGCCGATCATAACGCTGTGAACCCTATTTGGGGCTGTATCGAAGCGGTGCCTTGGTGGTTTTGGAAACGGATTTGAACATGTAGTAATACTCTCGACCTAGTCCACATTTATGTAAAGAAATCCGGGAAATTATGTGAAGGGAAGCAGGGAGCCACCCCAGGTGGCTCCCAGGTGGCACGGGAGCCACCTAATTTTGAAAAACATTTACCGTTTTTTAAATTCACATAAGTTTCTCATAATTCTTCATACTTTTTTTGTGCTCATGGTACTCCAACTACACAGCAAAGTTGGTGCCATATCGTTACTTGTGCATTGAAAACGAGCCTATTTTGTTATTTTCCTCTTACAAGAATTGCGATTTGAATTCCCGCCTGCGAGCAGGCTAGCGATAGGAGCACAGAATCTTCACATTGCTGGAATCTAAGTTCATAGGACAGTAGCATCAACAAGGAATGATGAATAAAGAATGATATGTGCATTGTTTATCGGTAAACAAAGGGGAAGTCGTTATAGAAAGCATAGTTGGCCTGGGCAAAGGGGAAGTCGTATTTTGGGCTCCGCCCGGACCCCAAAATACGACTTCCCCTTTGCTTTTTCGGGCCAAGAACGATATCCAGCTTGTGAAAGCGCCACCCCCGCCGGGCCCTGACAAAGACCATGCAGAGTGTTCATGGTGTAATATAAATAACTTCGTGGCTTGTCACTGTTTCTTAGTTTGAAAAATCGTTGCCGGACAAAAGAGATCAAAAAGGTGCATTTGAGCGCGCGCATGTCTTTCCATATAAAGTTTCTGTTGGAGGTAGGAAAATTACTTGCTAATCAGTGTTCGCGTTTACGACACCTTAGCACCTGTTAGAGAAATTTTTGGTAGTTGAATCATCGTAGCATATGGCGTTGACGTAAAGGCCACTTTCTGGATTCACAATGCGAATGATATCGTTTTCGAGAACTGCTGTTCCCTCATCACATTCTCTGTCGTGTTCCTATTGTCACCTCACAAAGTTTGTCTAAACGACGAGGCTTGATAGTATGTAGTTCTCGTGTGATAAGTACGGGTCCTTATGACCACGTTCCTCAAGCACAGTTCGCCATTTCACCAAGCCTGTCATAGCGTATTTGACATTTTTGGGCACTTCTCTTACATTGTGTTCTGAGTTGCATTTTTTTTGAAGGTGTCTTGCTTTCGTGAATAGAAAAGTTTACTTGGAAGATATTCCTCTAGGATTGGTCGGACAGGCAGAATGGGAAGAGGTGGAAGAGCTACAGTGCTTTTCAGTGTGGAACTGGATTACGTACACATTATCAACCTATTTGAGGTACGTGTTTGACTTTGTTTTATAGTATCTACAACTGATGTCCGTCACTTTGCAGTTCATGTGCGAGCACGATCAAATCATACCGCAGTGGTTATACACCGAGTATATGAGGTGCAAACAGAATATGTAAGTCTGTTGTATACCTCAATGTGCGGCAAATGAATGCTGAGCTCCCAAAAAACGCAGACCCGAAAATTTGGAAATATTACGAAAATCAAAATTGCTTTCGATTGGTCCGATTTTTGCTCATCTAGAAAGAGAAGGTCACAAAACCCGTGTTCTTGGCTTTCCCGCCTTTTTTGTGACGTTTTTGGGCTTTCTTGAGCATGCTCAAAAATTGCAAAACTGAGGTAATTCTCTTTATTTGCTTGTAACTTTCGATCTTTTTCGTTCTAATTCGTGGGAGAAGCACCATAGTAAAGAGTAGAATTTTCTTTATCAAATAATAACACTTTCGAAATTTTTCGTGATCCAGCTTAAAAAATGCTAATCTTGAGTAATTTTATTCAATTGCTTCTAGCTCTCGAACTTTCTCACGTCATCTCATGGCAAAGATACTGTTGCAAAGAGAAAGGTTTCCTCTTTCAAACAAAAATCAAAACGGAAAATTCCACCAAGACGGAAGGAAGTTATGATATTTTAAAAAACTGGCGAACGAATTTTTGAAATGACCTAATATATATCCTACTATAATAACGCGCTAAGGGTGTTTACGTTTTTTTGTGTGTGTGTGTCTGAATGTCTGTCTGTCACGAAATTAATAGCGCGAGTTCCAGCCAACGTCCTGAGCCCAAATCTTGCATAGCGCATGCTACCAGTATAAAAGTCCACCATGCGAAAGCACGAGCGGATTTGTTGAGTGGGTTCCTCAGAAATTGCGCGTCAGCCGGGTCCAATTGGCTTTCGGCCGCATATCGGATCCATATCACCACTTTTTGCAAAGTCGTGGATGTGCTTAGCATCTCAATGTACAAGCCATGGGCTTTGCTCCAAAAAAGGGATCAAAAGTCTACTACTTTACAAAAACGACGCCGAAAAGTATTGATTGCTCGATTGTCGATTTGCCAAGGTTTTACTTGAGCATTTGAGAAGATTTTTGCATAGAGATGTGGCTCAGAGTGTTATTGTCCTTATAGCAAGTATCTAGCCAGAAAAAAGTTCAAGAGCCTATTCAAATTTGCATTTGTTCTTCTGCGAAAAATTTCGTCCTCTCAAAATTACCGTTCTCACATGGAAAAGCTTTTGGAATGAGTAGTTGTTTTCATTTTATTCGTGATATTCGGCATCGTCCGGTGAGTTTCAATGCCATCACAAGGCATGAATGAGTAAAGCGTACAGAGTAGGACACAGCGAGCCTCTGCGAATCAGTGCATTTCATAGCGCAAGCTGCAGCAAATATTTCGAGCTGATTTTCTGGCTATAGCACGCCAGCAGCACCCAGGTTGATTATGTAAAGAAGTGAGCGAATCTGTTTCGGTTGAAAATCGCGAGTCAAACGGATCCACCAGGCATTTGCTAAGGCAAAAATGATCCTAATGCAAGGAGTCTGCAGTAACTATAAGACTTTTAACTTGGACATCTTCTAAGCCCTGGAATTCATCGCAGATACATAGCAAAAAGTTAATTTCGTGCAAAAGTGGATTCAAAAAGAGATGACTCAACTGTTCATTTTCAAAACACTCACTGTATAGCTAGAAATATTCTAGGCTGGGAATGTAGCGTGCATCTGTTGTTGTTCTAATTAGCCAACATCGCATTGATAGAACGGATTCAAAATTACACTAACCGTTCACCAAAAATTTCGCCACGCTAATTTTACCGGTTTCACATGAAAACCTCGGAGAATGAATGGTTGTTTATATCATATTCTTCCCGATCAGAATTTTTCGGGGAGGTTCAAAGCAATTTGAGAGATGAGGCAGGGCGCTGTTTAGCTCCGAGGACAAGCATGGACGCGCAGACCCTCACGGCACCATATTCATGGGGTGCATAGAGCCAGTACCTGCTGTAGACGTACCACACTTTGCCTTTCTTAAGAGGAGATATTGCTCAAAAACTACAGAGTAGGACCAGTGCGATCCTCTGCGAAGCATCATCATCCACTTTCATACTTTCACCACCACCACTACTAAACAAAGCTCTCGAAAACACTACAACTACTAAATCTTACCATTAGATAAATAAACAAGAGACGAGCCGCGTCGACCCATGCTGACGATGTCCCCATAAGCTCATCCTACTATAATAACGCGCTAAGGGTGTTTACGTTTTTTTTTGTGTGTGTGTGTGTCTGAATGTCTGTCTGTCACGAAATTCATAGCGCGAGTTCCAGCCAACGTCCTGAGCCCAAATCTTGCAGCGCATGCTACCAGTGTAAAAGTCCACCATGCGAAAGCACGAGCGGATTTGTTAAGTGGGTCCCTCAGAAATTGCGCGTCAGCCGGGTCCAATTGGCTTTCGGCCGCATATCGGATCCATATCACCACTTTTTGCAAAGTCGTGGATGTGCTTAGCATCTCAGTGTGCAAGCCATGGGCTTTGCTCCGAAAAAGGGATCAAAAGTCTACTACTTTACAAAAACGACGCCGAAAAGTATTGATTGCTCGATGGTCAATTTTTCAAGATTTTCCTGATTATTTGAGAAGATTTTCGCACAGAGGTGTAGCCCACTATGTTTATTGTCCTTACGGCGACTACCAATCCATAAAAATTCCAAAAGCCTATTCGAATTTGCATCTGTTCTTCTAAGAAAGATTTTATCCATGCGAAAATACCGACCTCACATGGAAAACCTCTACGAATGAGTAGTTGTTTACGAATTATTCGTGATAGCCTAAGCCTACATAGCGCGGTGAGTTTTAAATTTGCGTGTCAAACGGGTCCATGCGCCTTTTGGCACGCAAAACTGGGTCGCTAAGGCCCCGGTCAGACTTCACGCGACTTAATCGTCGCGACCAAATCGCCAAGATTTCCATTCATTTTCATTTCACATTCAAAAATTTCGGTCTGGAAAAGTATCACAACCGAATGCAAGTTGATCGACATGGAATGATGTTGTAACAGTTGTCTCGTCGCGATTCAGTCGCGACGATCAAATCGCGTGAAGTCTGCCCGGGGCCTAATTCGACTTTTTGCAAAGTTCTCGGCGCGCCATAAATTCTAGCCGAAAGAACGCTCAAAAAGGCTTCTTTTTTTTTTCGAAAACAGCGCCAAAAAGTGATGAACGCGTAGATAGTAGATTTGGTAAGGTTCTGTTTGAAAAAACTGAAAAGATTTTTGCACTGAAATGTAGCCCAAGATGACTATTATACTTATGACGATTCCGTTGGCTAGACATCAAAAACGAAGCTCTTGAATATGAGGCTTCAAATTTTGCGATTTTGAGTTTGGTGCCAGAAAATCGCAGAGTGCCGCTAGCTAGCCGAAAAAAATCTGTAGAATTTACCTACACAGCAGAAGTCCATCTCTTACTTTGGAAGGCTTTAATCTTGCACGGTGAAGCAAAAACAAAAAATTTGTGAAAAATGTCATTTTGCGGAAAAAATCCCCTCATGTCCGCAGTTTTTCTGCGAAAACACTTTTTTACACTCGAGAAAACGTCGCAAGGCTCTAAATAGGCACCATGTCCAATTTCTGGTTGCAAGCTGTGTTTCTGTGGAAAAATTACAGCGATAAGGGGATTTATCCATTCAAATAAGAAATTTCACAAATTTTTTGTTTTCGCATTTCCATGCGAGATCAAGGCCTGCCAAAATAACTATAGACTTTTGCTGTGTAAGTAAGTTCTACAGATTTATTTCAGCTAGCTAGCGGCCCTCTGCGATTTTCTGGCACCATCAAAATCGCAAAATTTGAAGCCCCATATTTAAGAGTTTGGTTCTCGATGGCTAGCTCATGGAATCTTTCGCTTGAACTTCCGTCATATAGCGTAAAACTTCTAATATTTTAAGCATGCAAGATTTGTGAATTTAGGTTGAGTCTTTGTAAAGTTATTGAATTTTGTTTAAATTACGCAGTGAGATGGAATAGTTCAAAATGGGATTCGCAATTGCAAAAAAAAAAAATACAAAACTTCTCACGAAGAAACCATTCGAGCGATTCGCACATCGCTGGTACAAAAGTAGCGAGGCGACATGGCTGAAATTGCGTGATGTTGCAGCGATATTCCCGCTGAGAGTGTGCCCGACCAAAAGAGTTCCGCGATACGTCGCAGCGTCAATCTAAGGTCTAAGGCATACCTCATGCGATTCCAGTCGCTGCGCGATTTGGCACTGCAGCGACTCTTCATATCTGGCCGTAAGCGCGCTTTGCATGGGTTAGACTTGACGGTTTTGCTACAGCTTACGGAAGCTACGCGCCTATGCATTCGAGATCCGTGCACGGTTAGTTTGTAGGAATCTGGCGATCCGCCAAGTCGCGTGGATGTAGCGATTTGACGAAATCGCGCGAGGTATGCCTTAGGCCTAACACAGACGCGGCGCGACCAAAGAGTTGGGCGCGCGTGCGCTGTGGACTCGGAACATATGTCCGAGTTGGAAATCGCGATGCGACAGGAATCGCGGTATGCCTTAGGCCATATGGAGTAACCAGCCTGTACTTGAGACGCTGCCAACTGATTTATAAATCATTCAGGAGGACATCACTGTCAATGTCGGATAGCTTTGTATCAGCGGACTCAAACATATCAGAAGCGGAAGAGAGCGACGACGAAGTGCAAGCTGAAAACATAGTAAAAGCGCCGAATGCTGTTGAGTGATTGAATTTAAGCATGACCGAGGGCATTGATCGCTTGTTTTTATATAAAATGGGAATTTGGATGGAACATTATGTCTTGCATTGCGAGTTGCTTCTGTTTGTCTACCTCTGCATCTATTTAAGTGTTATCCCATGCTATGATTATCTGACTAATGTGAGAGGATTTTGTCTTTCGATTCGTTCGCCTCATGTAAGCCAAATTGTACATATCGCGATGATAACGATAAACACGAAGGCGACTGATGGATCGTGAGGTGAGTCAGTTTTGGTAAAAAGGTACTCGAGTCTATTCGAACGACGTTTACATGAGGGGACTCATGTTGAAGTCAAACAAGTTATGCGTTTACATCGGTTCGTCAGAACTATTTGTAGTAATGGTCAACGGTCCTGTTTGGACTTAGGCTTGTAGCACACAGCGTCAAAGCGTCACCAGCTTCAGGAATAGTCACTCCGTGGTGGCGATGTGATGTCGCATTTCTGAGGCGAATCGTTGCCAAAAGTTTCTTCGTGTAGCTATTTTTTGTGAGTGTCAACCCCTGAAAATATACGCGAAAACTCATTGCAAGTGACATACTTCTGCATGTGAATATTAGGTTCTCCTAAAAGGTTTGTCGTTTTCTTTTTAAAGATTCAAAACTTTTTTATTTCAGTAAGTTTGGTTAATTGATATTTTTGAAGAAAGGAAACCTTCATTTTGTGTTGAGATCTTAGCGAGTTTCTGATATGCGCTGATGCAATATAATATTAGGTTGTCCCGAAAGTTTTGTCCGTTTTTTTTCATCGCTCGCTAAAACTCACAGAACACCAGCTCAAGAACGACTTAGGTATCATTTGATTCAGATTTCTATCCTCTTTCTTACAGCTATGTTTGCTTATCGCCTTGGATTTTTGAACAGCTCAGCAGTAACGCCAACTTTCTTGAATTTTAGAAATTTTTATCCTGATGTTTTCGAAGAGCTCTGGTAACCGTTATGTAGAGCAATCCTTTTGCTACATTGTGCCCATTTGACTACAGGGGCCATGTTTACCAAATCCGTTATAATTATTTATTCAGTAAAAAACGCTTCTTCTTCATCATGTTTACCACGTGAAAGTACCAAAAATTCTAAAATGCTTTTTTGGAGGCAAATCAAACTTGATTATGTTAATCACGTTTCAGTTCGCAGAAACTGCAAAAGCTTTTGTGTATCTGCTGCAGTTGCTCTTGCATGACTTTGCAAAAAATCGATACCTTCGAAGAAATAATTTTTTTAAGCTAAAAACAGCAGATTAGAAGAACCGAGAAATATCATCTTGTAGTCCGAGAATAGCTCTGTTTGATCCATACTTAAACCTTTCCGGAACTTTGGAATGAAATTTTTAAAAATTAGCCTAACTTTGAGCAGATAAAATTGACGGGTGGAGAATATTGGCAATTATCAAAAAAAAAACATTCAAGATTGTGGTTCGAAATATATTAGGTCGTTCCGAAAGTAATGTCGCTTTTTTCAAATGAACGCCACAGTTCATGGAATCAAGATTTTCTAGAGCTCTTGGAACCGGCCGATGCAGCATTTCGTCCTCTTTCTAATGGTTGTAATTTCATTGCATAATATTCAGTGAGCTCCCTGAAAACCACTAAAACCTGCAACTCATGCTTTTTGTCATGGTCAAGTTCGTCTATTTTTCTATATTTTTGTACTGATTCCCTGAAGATGCACAAGTAGGAGATAAATAGAGCAAACCCTGTAGGACACAAAACATTTTTTCTTTTCCGTAGTTTGCTTCTTAGAGTTTATAGAATCAATTTTTGCTATCAAATTTCAGATTTGGTCAACTCAGACCTCACAGAACAACAACCGGCAAGCAACTCGGGTGTCATTTGACGCAGCTTTTCCTCCCCTTTTTACAGTTTTTCTTTTGGTTTCCGATTCATAAAGTTTTCCAGCATAAAATCAGCATAATTCAGGATTTCCAAAGCGCCTCAGGCTGTACCCAAAATTTCCGAAATTTTCAAAATCGTGCTGCTTTCTAGGGTTTGCTCAATCCACCTGTTACATGGACTTTTTCGGAGGATTGTTGTAAAAATTTAGAAAAATTGTGAAACTTGACCTTATCAAAAAGCTTGAGTCGCAGATTTTGGTAATTTTTCTGGAGCTTATCGAATATCGTGCAATGGACGTATGATTATTAGAAAGGGAATGAAATGCTGCACCGAATGCTACTAAGACCTTTTAGAAATCTTGCTTCCATGTAGCGTTCACTTGAAAATAGCGACATTACTTTCTGAACGATTTAATATTCCGTAAGAGAGAAAAGGAAAAGCTGCATTGAATGTATAATGAAATCATTCAGATCTTTATTGTGCGCGGTTTTATTCAGATAGGTTGTAAAGCTCCATCGAAAGTATAATGAAACTCATTCAGGTCTTTATTGTGCGCGGTTTTGTTCAAACATTGGACCTGCATAAAGTAATTAATCTTTCCAGAGTTACGGAAATGTGCATGTGCGTCAGGTGACTTTAGGATCGCAAGGCCTTAAAATCATGGGAATATTCCGCATAGTACCCGGAACAGCAATTTGAGGCGCTTCCTGGAATACCCACTCCCCAGCGATCGTGATATGATATTATGTTATCTTCGTACTTGGCCACATTTTACACTAGAAATTAATAAGTATGTCGTAAGCTTTGCGGAAACTCTTTCCTACAAGTACTCATATGATTCGTCTCAAACTTTTTGAAAAGAGCACTGAATCTTGTTACATTAAATCTCAGCAGGACCGCTAAAGGAGTTAATAAGATATAATCCTGATTTTGGCATTTGGTCAGAGATTCTCCAAAGCAGTTGAGAGAAAAGTAATTGAGTGTGATCTTTGTTATCAAATATAATATGTAATCAGATTTGGCGATCCGCAAGCTGTAAACTATGAAAATCATAAGTTTGTGGAACCTTGTGGTTGCCGGCATTCCTGCTCTCACCACGGACGATGTAGGAGCAAGAGATTCGTGGATAATAACAAAATGATACCATATGTAATCAAGAGTTTTGGCTCAGTACAGGCAAACGGCGAAGGCTGTAAAGCGGTTTTGCAGGTAACAGATAATTTTGGATTTGCTTGAAATGATCAAAACAATTTGATTGCAAAATTTTTTGCTTATGGGGATCTGAAATTGAGTCTTGCTCTCAAAAGAGTCCAGATTAACCATACAACCATTGCTTGCTGAATTTCCGAAGGCAGTATGCGGGCAGTCTCGGGAGTGCCTTATTTCCAGTGATACTGAAGCCTCCACATGCAAGCCCTGGCCCGGTTTCCTCTGCAGAATGTTGCCTCTGGAGCGAAAAAATCGTTCCAGAAATTTGGATATAGCCATCACTCTACTCACCTCGTCCTTACTGGGGTTGAGCAGCCCTGCGAATCTTTTTACGCAGTCAATTTTATAAAAAAAGTTTCAGCATAATTTTCGATAACTACATAAAATCATGCTTTTTCCGGAGAGACCTCCGGGCTCTGCACAAACGACATCCCCTTTGCTTCCTACCCCAAAACGATATACTAGGTTGGTCCGAAAGTTTCGCGGTTCTTTGAAATGACCCGCAAATTCGGTACAGTAAAGATAAACAAACACTTCAAGCTGTATCCGATGCAAAATTTCTTCCTCTTTCCAGCTGTCATATTCCCAACGTGATTTGTTGATAGAGTGTTGAGATAATCGCTGGAAATTGCAACCCTTCTTTTTCAACATGTCCAAATTTCGCCAATTTTTTAAAATTTTTATATGAGACTTATGGGGAGTATTAAATAACCAAAAGGTAGGGCAGATCTTTTGTTAATGCATCTAGTTTTTCTCTTTTCTCAACTGCATTTTTAGAGTTTTGCTAAATAAATTTCCAACAGTCTAGAGTTTCGAAATATTCGCATAACTTGTTATTGCACCAAACATTGCAAAATCTTCAGATTAATGAGTTTTCAAAACACAATTATCATTATTATTAATCCTACAAACTAAATGAGCAATTTTCGCTTCAAAAAATGATGACTTTGAAAGTTAGAGTTTATCAGTGTGCACTCGTGAAATGGAGTAATACTGAAATTTTCCCTGCAAGTTTCGAGCATCTCTCCAAGAAAAAAAAATAAAAAATAAAAATAAAAATTTTGAAAATCAGCGAAAGTTGAACATGTTGAAAACGAAGGGTTGTAATCTCCAACAAGGAACAAGGATCTCAGCACTCTTTCAACAGAACACGTTGGGAATATGACAGCTGGAAAGAGGAAGAAATTTTGCATTGGATACAGCTTGAAATGTTTATTTATCTTTACTGTACCGAATTTGCGGGTCATTTCAAAAAACCGACAAAAACTTTCGGACCGACCTAATACAAGCCTGCATAAACTATCTGCGCCGAGACCCTGGTGTTCTTCCCCATAGGTCCAATTGCTTTGTTCTTAACCTTGCCATGAGACTCTCCGTTCTTAGGTTATTTGCATATTAATGTTTAGTATAAAGAGCAAGCCCTAGCACCAGCTCTTTTTGCATCTCATGGGCATCGAAGTACAGAAACATGAACTTCTCTACAGTGCGTAATAGCGGATGTTGTAGGATAATATCTCTAGGTAACTCGTTGTCTGTAGCTTTCATCTCTCCAATTTAGAAATCAATTGCAGCTTTCGATAAGAATCTTAAAACTACTTTCTGAAATTCTTGTTCTTCTAGAATTACTCACCTTTCAGCCACACACATCACAAGTTACTACAACAAATATAATTACGCTGAAGATTTTTGAATCTGGATAGATGACTATGAGTGTGATTATATTTGATGTTTTCGCGGAGTAAGTAGTATGCAAGACTGATTGCGCTTGTTTACAAGCACAATTGTTTTGCGCACTTGAAACTTATTACCATTTATGCAATTAATCCTTTCGTTCTTTGCCATTTCGAATCAGAGATTTTGCCTTATCGAAGTTACGGCCATCGATAGCTCTCATAATTGATGGGGCAAAGGTGAAATATTCGGAAAATGGCCGTATACTCTATATACTAAATGTAATGATAACCTCTGCAGCGCTGAAAGTTTGCGCGAATTAAATTTGGCCATAGAGCTTCTCGCATTCTAGATTTCGCGTCCAGCGACCAGTCGTTCTGCCCAAGTGTTGTCGGCAAGAAAGCACTACATTGACTACCAAGGACCCCAGAGTATACATGAGAAGTTTGTCTATGGGGGGGGGGGGGGGGGCGTGGCGAGAGCGAAGAGTAGGTCG